AATCCAGAGATAAACTAATTTGATACTTGTGTGCTGAGGAATGATGGTAGAAAAATATTAAAGTCTTTGGTGTCTATAATTGAACCATTCTGTTTCCATAAGAGAGAAACCTTTGCATGTTCAGTAAAATCCCTGCAATTCATAATTACAGGAGTCCCAAGTTTGAGCTAAGCAACTTTACACAGTATTGGCTGATGCTGTGTGGTGTGGTGGCTCACACAGAGTGTAAAGTGCATGTGGTGTGCTTAGAACTATGCCCACAGTGAGGTTGTGTGGTGTGGTGGCTCACACAGAGTGAAGAGTGCATGTGGCATGCTCAGAACTATGCTGGCAGTGAGGTTGTGTGGTGTGGTGGCTCACACAGAGTGAAGAGTGCATGTGGCATGCTCAGAACTATGCTGGCAGTGAGGTTGTGTGATGCAAGATAGGCAAAAACCTCCAGAAACTCCTCAGATTCACTAGACATTGGACTTCAAATTCATTTTGCGTTGCTGTGCATACAACTGTTGCATTGGGGCATGCAGAGTCATGACCCATGGTAGCCCATGCTACATGCTGATTTGGCCTTTGCCTCTCTGATGATCATTACGCTGTTCAGTGCTAAGGTTTAGCTACATGGCTTCACTGAGCACATGGGAAGTACTCCCCCATTTGTGCAAATGCTGTTCACTAATCTGTCTTCTCAGGGTCATCATTTGTTGTTGCCTCACTGAGAGGTGTAGAATAATCCCTAGGCAGCCCACACAAGGGCAACCCTAGTGCCAGGAACACTGAGCAGGATAGGTGCTGCTCTGTTTTATAGAAGAGCAAAGAGAGACTGCAGAGCTAAAGTGAGTCTAGTTGTGGCTTCTCTCTTGCTTTTTTGCTTGTTTTTATAGCGCTGGAGGTAGAACGTAGGGCTTCACACATGCTAGGCAAGTGCTCCACCACCGAGCCCTGCTACCAGCTCATGAGTGAGGTTGTTAAGTGAGATTAACACACATTCTCACCCCAGTTCCTCAGGCTCACTCTCTCCACTCACGGTACCATGAATCCCATGGTGAAAGAAGCTGCAAGACATGCTTCTTTTCGCCCTCTAATATGTCCTAGTTACACAATAAATCTTTATAAAGCTTGATTGATTATTTGGAAGACAAATTAAGGCTACCGTCTTAGCAGAGTATTTTATTTAGGTAGTTCAGCAACAATAAGAAGATGCTGGCATCCTAGATTAGCTGGCTAAAATATTATTAGAAGTTAATTCATATTTTAGCAGATAATTCCTAATTAATTTGCTGTAGTTATCTTGTTAAATGTCAATTAACTCTCTCCACATCCCTTACAGGTTTCTGCCATTTCCAAAATGTAATTATGCAGCTATTGCTCAGGTACCTTTACTGCTTGTACAATCTCCCAGTTAAATATAAGTCAGAAAGATTTATCTTCCAAGTTCTTAATAACATCACTAAATGCTCTAATTAATAATCAATAATCCATTTGCATAATTAATTGTGGAAAGAATCCTAGTGGGATGGTGCTTGTGGCTAGCTTCTCTCAGGCTGGAACTGCTATCTCCTGCAGCAGCCCTGGCCCGAGTAGAGTTTATCTAAGCCGCTCACATCCCTCCAGGGCACAGAGCAGGAGTGGGGTGTTTTGTGGGAAGTCCTTATTTATGCAGTTGCTTAACACTATGTAATATAAGTGTCTCTGTGGAGCAGAACCTATTTGCTGGATATGAATTTTCACCGACATAGGCTCCAGTGAACAAAAATAAGTTAGTTCATTTTCCTAAATGGTGATTTAATTTTCTACATCTGAATTCTCATCGTACTTGATACAGAAACTTAATCTAGCCACTTTCAGACAATGTAGTGTCTGCTAAGGCAAATGAGGTTGGAGCTTGGTTATAGTATAAATGACTCTTAGGAGGGACAGGCTATGAGATCCCCACCACAGGGTTCTGGAGAGACCTCTTTTGGTCCTCCTAGGCTGCCATTTTGAGAGATGTTGTGGAAGTCTGGTCCTGCCTTCACTGCAGGGTGCTCAGCCTCATTTAATTATGATTCTCCTTGGTGCCAACCTCACTCTCTGAAGCTTGTGGTTTTGCTTCAGCTCACAAATCACCCTTCATTTGCCTCATTTCCACTCTCAGGTGTCTGTCCCTATCAGTCCTTCTCCACTATTCTTCCTTCTCAGACAGGCTTTCTATTACCCTAGAAAGACCAGAGGACTGCCATGGGTCTTCACTGTGTCCACATACCCACTCAGCCTCCTTGTTCACATATCCAGAGGCAAAGTTTTGTGAAGTAAATGATGAGGTCTGCACTTGTGTGTGGGCCCAGTGAGACACAGGTTTCAGAAACCAGTGACTCTGTGAGATTGCCTCAAAGCAATGGAGACACGGCACAAAGATAGACCCAAACATCTACCTTTCAGAATCTTTCCAAGTCTTCTGATCCCCTTCCTGTTTAGGGAGACCATAGGGCAGAGGTGGTTCCATACAGGGAAGTCACCTATTGTACATTTTCTGGTCTGTCCAGAAATCCCTGCATTGTGTCTTAGAAGCTGACAGTATTCCATTGTTGTTCTTTTGTTGTGGAGTGAGAAGTAGCCTTGTGAACAGATAGAACAAGGGTGGTCACAGGAGTAAAGAAACAATAAGCCAGATGTCATCTCACAGTGCTGCTCCTACACCATTATCATGTCAGAACCAAGGCGGGAACACACAGAGTCATGTGACACTCAGTCCAAAGAGGATCACACCAAACATGCACCACAGAGGCACAGAGCCACACCAAGTCCTGAGGGTTCTGGGATCTGAGATTCAGCTTACCTGTGAGATCCACAAAGGGAGGGTGAATGAGTGGACCACAGTTCCCAGAAGTCTGCTGTCTAGTGGAGAGATGTTTGTATGATTTGTTTTTTATCCCAATTCTCTGATTTCATTTAAAACATAACTTTATATGCTTGGAGCTGAAAGCTGCATGTCCTAATGGCTTCCAAAGGTCAGGAAAAAATAATTTCATATACAATCCTGCCATTGTTCGTTGACCTACCAGTTGCAACTGGTACAAGTGGATAATGTTTTGATTTAAGAAGAAACCCCTGTATGCATCCATCCATCCATCCATCCATCCATCCATCCATCCATCCATCCATCCATCCAAGCCTGGGTGTCATTGTCAGAGGACACTGCCAGAACAATCATACACCAGACCAATAAGACTTGTAGACCTCAGAAAGTAGATCACACATTGAGGCCTCTCCCAGGGAAGAGCTGCCCTTCAGATCAGAAGAGCAGGAATGAAATGAACTATGAGTCTTGCCAAAGTTCCCAATGGTCTACCTGTCTTTTTAGCACTGGCATATTGAACAACTGCTGGGCACCCCTGGGAGGGCTTCTCCGTCTTCACTGTGCTCTGCAGCTCCACCGGGCATTTAATGGCTTATCCGCAAAATGGTGATGAAGTAAGTAAAAGTGGTGTGGGTGTCGTCTTGTCTTTCTGCCTTGATGTGTTCCTTGTCCTTCCCATCCTCGGGGATTTCTGGGAATTAACTGCCACGGAGGAAAGTATACAGATCTGCTTTCCCCCGAGGATGCTGGTCCCTTGCAAAACAAGCCCTCCATGAGGAGAGTGGTGCTAAAAATGATGTTGAGTTATCGGTAGCATTTCAGGAAACTCTGAAAGGGAGACTGAGGTCAGGGTGAACTTTATAGGTAGTCCACAAATAATATGACATGAATAAGATAGGCCATCTCTCTCTAGGGAGTGGGGACAGCTGGTGGCAACTTCAAGAGAGGTGCAGGAGGCACTCCTCAGGAGCCATGACACCTGGTTCACATCAAACCACCCTGAGCCTTGTTTTTCCTGTTGGTGAATTGGGGGCAATCAGTGTATCCTGCTCTGAGAAGTCAACAATGGCATGGCATAGATAATATATGTCAAGATGCCTCCAGGTTATTGTCTTAGTTCACACAGCTGTTATCACCCGTGGTTGATATGGATTCAATCAAAAGATTTTCAAATGGGTAGTAGAATACTTAACTGTGTCAATGGGAGTAGTTACCCTTTCTACCAATTTATCCTATAAATATGACTATGAAGCCAACAAATACCTCTTTCCCCTTGGGGTGACAGAGTTGGGCAAGTGCTGAGGAGAGAGATTCTATGGAGTAGAGTGGTATGGCTGGCCAGTTAGCATGTGAGGAGAGCTCTCTCCCCTCTGTCTGCCTACACATTGTGTGACTTTCAGTAACTAGTGCCAGTGTCAGCAAGAGCTGAGAGCTGGGCTGCAGATGTACCCAGACCACTTCTCTATATTTTATATTTCCCAAGACTGACCCATGTGCAGCACATCTTCATTCTGAGATGGGTTTGCTTAGCATACAGCCAGGTAGATAGACATATTGTGAGTTGTCGAGATCTAGAAGAATTACGAACTCTAGCAGAAATAGCCAACTAAGGAATAGCTAAGGCAAGCTTTCCTTCCTCCATCCCCCACCAGCATCGCTGGGTGTGTGTATCTTCAAGCTCACAGGAACAATCATGCACGCCATATATTCTTCTCTTTTTATGGCTCTTATTGGTATAGCAGCATTACTCAGGCTCGGCTGTCCCATCTCCAAAGCCGATTTCTTTTGCATCTCTGTTTATATGGATAACGTTTGAAGAACTATCCTCCACTCCTGCTGTCAGCTCCCATTCCGCACTTCACATATTATGAACTTATTTAAACAGAAATCTTTCTCTCTGGGTGTGTTTCTTTCCCATCTGCTTCTCCCCTGCCCCATCCTAGCAATTCTCATTTTGCAGCAATCCTGTGATATCATTCATTGTTACTCTTTATTACCTAAACTGCTTCTGTCCCTTTCAGGATGCAAGGGGGTGGGGATACAGAGCACTGTGATTGACATTCAGGGCAATGCTTTTACCTCCAATATTTCTAGAAGTGCTACATCAATATTTAAGAGCAAAGATCTCACCGATGACTATACTTCATATGTGTAAGATGATTTGCAGTTGGTTTTGAAATGTACTTTAATTTTAGGGAGTTTTGGAGACAGGGGGCAAAGTGTGGCTTATTATCCAGCTTGTTCTAACTGTTCAGACTCCAGGTGCATATTGTGTTGAGCAGTGTCTGGGTGTTCAGCTTCACTGTTCACATGTCCCTTAAATATGTCTTCTGAATGTTAGACTCAAATGTGGTAGGGATTGTTTAAAGATGATTCTTATTTTACTAACCAGCTGAAATATGGTGAAGCAAGGGTGTCTCTGAATATGAATGTATTTTTAGGTTAGTAATATTTTCTGGTGGTTTCTATTGGTTCAGAGACTGTGTTCTGTTTCTTGGACCCAGGATAAATGTTACAAACCCTCCAGTTCTGTCCAGTTCATGTAAATGTGTTGGGACAAAGAAGAAGATCCATCTACCCAGGGTGAATGTTCCCCCTTTCCACAGCAGCCTCATCCAGATGATGGGTCCAGAGCCTTCTGTGTCCTCGTGAGGCCAGCTGATATGTATGAGGAGAAATTAGTCTTTTCAGTCTTTGAGGAAGCATGGGTAGATGCCACACTCTGGTAGCAGTTTTGCCAGGTCACTGCATCTGTGTTACACATGGTGTTCCTGGCTCAACTCTTACAAACAGGCCACTTTCTTACCTATAAAGAAGAAATTAAGTAGAGGATTATCCCACCGACCACTGGACCTTGAGTTGAGAAACACCTTAATAATTAGAAATCTTTTCAAGTGTCAATGGTCTTATATTAAAACTGCCTCATGTATAAAGAACATTACCAAAGCATCACCTATCCTGACTAATGCTGGACTTTACAGTCCACAGCATATTAAGGCTCTTGCTCCTTTTTACTTGCCTTGAGAAAGTAAAGAGGTTCCAATTGCCCCCCCCAGTAGAACTGTTTTCTTAAATATACAGATACATTCATTTTCCAAATATTGTAGCAACATTTCTTCTGTATTCTGCCCTGTGAGGCTATCACATCAGAACCGTGTTCACATAAATCCACTTTCAGCCACAGGCAAGACAAGAAGGGAAGCAAAGTGCAGTTTGCAAAGTAAAGCTACAGACCCGGCATGGGAAGCAAAAGTGGGTGGTCCTTATCTGGCTCTCAGCCCACAGGCCCTAGTATTGTTCATCATCCCAACAGGATACCTTTCAAGAACAGAAGCTTCCAAGCATTAAGCATCCCTGCCTCACTCTCTTAGTAGCATCCCCTTTTCAATCCTGTCCATCCTGAGGTTCTAACTAGCTTATTTGGAACTTCTGTTAGGAAATTGCAGCCTGGTTTACTTCTTGCCTACTGACTACCTCCCTTTGAACCTTGACACAACAAAACAGAAAGCAGTAAGTTTCAAGAGGATGTCAGTTGAGACCTTCTATTTGAAACCTCCTTCTTAGAAGTCACTATCCAAACCTGCACAGCTGGAGACAACAGATGATGGAAACAGGTCCAGCTGGAAATACCTCAGGTATCCAAAGAACTCCGGTTGCACTGTGGAGTTCAAGTGATTATCATCCACAGCAGAATAAAGGTGTCCTTCATTGCTCAGAAAATCCATTGCTTGCTTGCTTGAGGTTATAGGTGTGTGCTGGAGCTGGTTCCTAAGATCCTTAAAGTTCAGTCATTCTGGCTTTGAGAAGCTTTAATCAAATCCAGCACTTAGTTTGGGGCCATAGTGTGGCCATTTGCTGGCATGAAGTTATCCCCCTGCTCCTGCCAAAGTTCCCTGAGTTCACCCACTCCTGGGTCACTGCTAGATGTCCTTCCTGCCGAGCATCATGTGCGAGTTGATTGCTTCCAGAGTATGTGTGGCGAACTCATTCATTTCTTCCAGGGGAATAATCTTTTTATTCTGGGAAGACCTGAGAGGGCCAGCCACTTTCATGTATGTTTCTGGAGGAACCACAATGTTTTCACCACTGGCATCATGTGTGTCAGCCCACTGGTGAACATCCATGGGCACAGCCTTTATAGCATCTACTTTGTAAACAATATTAGTTGGAGCTTTTTCTGTATATCTGATTATTCCCAAAGTAGTAACCTGTGAAACCTCAACATTCCCAGTTTTAAACGCTTCACCAGTCAGAGTAGCAGAAAGCAGCTGAGATATGGTACAGGGCACAGTGTGGGGGGGGCTCCTGTGCTTCCTTTCTTTTCTACTTAGAAGGACCTGACGCTCCCAGACTGTGTGTGCAGGCTCCTCCATAGGTGGAGGTGCTGTAGCTTTGGCCTCTGCTATTCCACATTGTAGTCTAGGTTCCACCTGAGAAGTGGTCCAGAAAGTTCCAATCCAATAGGCTCGGTGGCTACCTCACAACTGTTTGCTACCCTGGTGTGGTGGTGGTTGTATAACTACTTTACACTAGCATCAATAGCTATTTGTTTGTGATGATTTTGCAAGTAAGAATGAGCCCATGACTGTCTTCTAAGGTTCATTACCACCCTGGGGAACTTCATTAAGCCAAAGGAAACTTCTCGGGGGCAGGTCAGAATTGGCAAAGGGTTAAACGTTTTGAGGGTAGAAAACACTACACATACTACAAAAACAAGACTGTAAACCCCAAAGCATACTCTCTCTTCTGGATACTTGTTTATCCTTTGGTAAGTCAGTCCCTAGCTTGGATCATGTGGAAGTGGGGTCGGGGGACCTAGGAGGAACTCAAATAGTTGGTCAAGGATGGCTCAGAATTTTGAGTTGAGTTTCTGCAGAGTCCCCAGAATACCTTACCTATGTGGATCTCTGCTCACCCTGACACATACTTTCCAGTTGCCTTTGGGAGAAGCAGAACTGTTAACTACATGTGTCAACACTGCACTGGGTGATTCTGAATGTCAGAGTTTTCCACTTCACTTTAAGAAACACTGCAGGGGAGTGGGGAGACAGAATCACGGAGACACTCACTTTTCTATCTTACGTCTCATCACCGGCACTCCAGATGTCCTTGTGGGGCACACAGGGAAGACTTCTGATGGAGTTGAGAACTGGAATGAAAACTGTCACAGTAAGGCATTCCATTCCATTCGGTCCTGTTCCATTTCGTCTCCTTTTCCCTCTTCATTTTGGAAGGGGTCAGAACCCTTTGTAGAAGACAGAGCCCCCTGTGAATGCTCCAAGTCCCTCACCAAAGCTTCGTTTTGGTGATTGGGTCAAATCTTTATAAGTGCTTACTTACTTGCTTTAATCATCCTATCACCAACCCCTTCCCCAACCTCTCTAACATTTGCCAACCTGGAATAAGTGCTGTGCACCCTCTTAGGAGGCTGGGGTCTGGATAGATTGATAGTGTGGGGGCATTACCAGAGGGAAATAGTAGAAAGGAATGCCAGTCAAGGAAAATTTACAAGTGCATGAAATATATTTATATTTCTCTCTTTATATCAACACTTCTCTCCCCTCATGTGGGTCCTTATGTGAACAACTTTCCTTCTCTTTTGGAGTCACAGACCACACACATTACCTTTCCACCATATGCCAGCACATGTGCGTGCGTGCGTGCGTGCGTGCGTGTGCGTGTGTGTGTGTGTGTGTGTGTGCATGCTCTGTGTGACCTCATCCAGGAGGAAGCCTGAACTTCCTTCTCATTCAGACACTTCTGCCCTACTGGCTCTCATTTCCAAGGCAAACACTGCTTAACTGATGAGCTAAAATATTCTTGAGGGAAAAAAAAAAGAGTGTGTCTTTTTCTCCTTGGACCTTTGGAATTCAGAAGGAGACTTTAGAAATTATTGGACTCAAGGGAATGAATCTCATTTGGTGGAAATCTGGATGTCATAATAAAAATATTTTTAACTTTCTATCATTCAGTACCTATGTACGTCACTCTTTGTTGTTGTTTCTAAGAAAAGTCAGTCTTGGGGGTCAGTGAGAGAGAAATTCTGATTACATGTGCCTGGAGTGGATTAGCAACTTCATTCATTTATAAAAACCTACAAGCATTGCTCATTCATCAGGAGGCATTAACTGAACGCCTACTGTTTTTCAGGCTACAAAAGATGCCTAGGATACAGATGATGAATAGGGCAATATGGCAGATAGTGAAAAGTGATGACCAGAGCTCACGTCCTGACTTCCTCTAGGCCAGGAACACTTGCCAACTCTTTCCCATCCATCAAAATGGGGAACAAAAAGAAGGGGGAAGATATAATATAATGCATACTTGAGTATAATCTATGCAACTCTGACTGTGGTTTGAGAAGAGGGTTGGAAAAGCAAGAAAAATACTTCAGTCCAAGAAAGCTGCTCAGCATATTTAGAAATCAGTTTCCATTTTAATACCATGTGTCTTTTCCATATCAAATGACACGTCTGGCAAACACTAGAAGGTAACACTTTTGGGGGCTTTAAGTGTCTCAACCATAGATGAAGTCATCTTAAAGGGACCAACCACAAAGCCACTTAGCATCTGGCACTCTTGTCTCCATCCTGGTGGGGACAAGGAAAAAGAGTGCTTCCAAGTGGTGGTGTGAATTTGGCTCCTGTCTTGATGCGTGGGAAGATCTGTTCACCATCTGACCTTACTGAGCCTGCATGAGGATGACTTCCCAAGTAGGAGTAGCACAGTTCATCATTACAGATAGATAGGGTTTCCACAGAAATCACAGCAGAGCACAAAACAAGGAGTGGAAAGCATTCACAGAACCTGGGAACAACCAGTATTGCAGTGTGTGACTATCTGGTCTTTTAAAATTCATACGTGTGTGTCATGTGTAGTTGGCATTTTCTTTGGGCTGCCAACCAGTTCCCAAATAAAGACACAGAGACTTATTATTAATTATGAATGCTTGGCCTTAACTTAGGCTTGTCCCACTAGCTCTCTTAACTTAATTTAACCTGTTTCTATTCATCTACATTTTGCCTGAGGGCTTTTTACCTTTCTTTCATTCTGTATGACCTACTTTCATGCTTCCTCCATGTCTGCCTGTCTGGCCCCTGGAGTCTCCCTAGCATCTCTTTTTCTTTCTCCCTTGAGCCTGAATTCCTCTTCTACTTACTCTCCCTGCCAGAAAGTTCTGCCTACACCTCCTCTCTTGCTATTGGCCAGTCAGCTTTTTATTAGACCAGTCAGGTGCCTTGGGCAGGCAAGATAAAACAGCAACACATCTTTACATAGTTAAACAAAGGAACACATCTTTGCATAGTCTAACAAATATTCTACAACATGCATGAATGTGCATGTGCATGCATGTGTGTACATGCATGTGTGTGTTTAAAGCAAAGTTGAGATCAACTAATTATTTTTTAACCAATGTAGGCCTGGATTTGTGGACATGTAGTTTCTGTGGATTCTGGTCTTAATGCTCTGCTCTTAATATCACGCAATTCTTTTTAAAAACATCTATCTATCTGTCTATCTATCTATCATCTATCTATCTATCTATCTATCTATCTATCTATCTATCTATCTATCTATCTATCATCTATCTACCTACCTACCTACCTACCTACCTACCTACCTACCTACCTATCCTACCTACCTGTCTATCCATATGTGTGTCCATGTGCATGTATGGAGGTCAGAGGTAGTAGGTGTCTTTCTCAGTCCCTCTCCATTTGTTTTACTCTTGAGATAGTGTCTTTCATTGAACTCAGAGCTTACTATTTTGGTTAGACTGTCTGTCCAGCAAGCTTCAGGATCCTTCTATATTCACCCCCTCACTCTAGGACTGCAGGCATGTGATGTGATGCCTAGCTTTTTACATGGGTGCTGGGGAAGTGAACCCAGGCCCTCGTGCTTGTGTGGCAAGCATTTTACTGACTGAGCTGTCTACCCAGCCCACCATCACAGAGATCCTAATTTTCTCTTTGGTCCTGTGCTTTGTTAATGAAATCCAAAGAGATGTATGTAAGAAGCAGAGGTAGCAAATGTAATGTGGACAACCTATTCCTGCCATACTGCTTGCACAGGGCCTCCCAAGCACAGAACTCCACAAGGCAAGAACCTTTATTAAAATCAACAACCTACACCCAAATGCTGACAGTTGGAAGAGGCCACTGTCCCCTGCAAGCCAGGGCTTGTCCCTAATGTCCCAAAAGAGAACAAGAAAGTTTTATGGGGAATGTGAAGACCAGAAGACTCCACCATGTTCTTCCTAATTCATGCCATGACCCCTGTCAGCCACTACCAGAAATGCCAGGGAAGGGAGGAGAGGGGATCGTCCAGGCAGTTGGTAGATGGCCTTGGTATCAAGAGGCGAAGTAAAAGCCATTGAGTTTATTTTTTGTATCATTTTTCCAGTTCTGGCAAGAAAGAAACACATGTGTATAAGAACGTCAGACAAGCAATTTGGGGATCCTGCAAATGTATTAAATGCTTTTATTTGTATTTAAAACTAGCACTGCACAGTAGAAAGATGACTGCTACAATCCAGACTAATGATTTAAACAGTAAGTTTTTCTTTACTTAGAACATTAAATAACAAATTTAAAAGATGCCACATTAAATCAAAGGAGTGACCATGAAAATGGAGTAGTCCCTTCTATCTTGCTCATGGACTCCACGTTAGACTCCATCAAACCCTACAAATCATGCAGCCAGTCTTGGCTGGGTAATACATTGATATCATTTGTACAAGTCATTCAATATAATGTATTATTTATCTGCAGTTTTCAAAAGACTTAAAAAAAAGAGTAGAAGGTATGCATGTCATAGAGTTCTCAGGTTGTCAGTGTCCCCACAGAGCCATGCATTCAAACCTACACTGAGACCTCATTGTCACCCAAGTCCAGTGCACATTACATTCATTCTTTTCTTTGTGCGTGCATAGTAAATGGTGTATGTTTGTGAGTTCATATGTACATGTGTGTGGAGGTCAAAGATCAACCTTGAGTGTAATTTCTCAGGTACCATCCACCTTGTCTTTTGAGAGAGTTTCTCACCAACTGGGAGCTTGCCACATAGACTAGGGTGGTGGCTGGTGAGCCCCAGGGCTCTGTCTGTCTGTCTCTGTCTCCCCAGCACTGGGATGATAAACATACACCATGTTCAGAGTTTTTTATGAGTCCTGAGGATTGAACTTGGGACCTCATGCTTGCAAAGCAAGCACTTTACTGAGCCACCTTGGTGTTGTGACTTTTATATATTTGAATGAATGATAATACCACACATTTACTACTACAGGATCTTACAGACTAGTTTATGCTTTACCTACCAGTCCTCTGTGAGCTATAAGCATGACTTTAAAGACCATTACTAACATCTGCACAGCAAATAGCTTCATTGGATGAGTGTATTTAACTTATCTCCTATAGCTTTGGGGACATTTAGATAGTTTACAATGTATTTACAATTAATTGTTTATTATGATAAGAAGAGAATCTTGCAAAATTAAATATCTATATGCATACATGGTTATTCTTTAAAGGAACATGCAGGCACGATTTCCGAGTCAATTGATTTTGAAGAATGTGGAGATACAGCCATGGAGGGCTCCAGGGGAGCTTGTATCAACTTGTAATTTTTCTCTTAATACATCATCCATCCTTCCAGTTCTTGTGCATAACTTCTCATTCTGTCTCTGCCAATTTCGATGCCTTATTTATTTACCAACAATACATTCTGTGTACCAGGCAGTGTATCAGGAAGGCACTAAGACAAAATGGCAAGCAAAAGAAGACTCAACTTTATGGGACTTTTAGTCAAGTGTCAACTAATCCTATAAAGTACTGTGCATTTACAAACTGTGATGAGTCTTGTGAAGAAGGAAGGAGAATTTCTAGAGCACTTTAGATCTAAGGTGATATAAGGCACTACCTTCCCTCACCTACCAATTTCTATTCTCTTCATTTTATTTCTCAGTGGTCTGTGTCTCATCTCCCACACTGGGGCCTTCCAGTTCTCACCAGGAACACAGGAGTCTTCCCGGATTGCTTGCAGCATTCTGTGCCTTCTACACTCCATTCCAAAGAATGCTTCCTCATAGAGCCTACTCCTTTCAACCCTAATCACGCCCATCACTATGGAGGCAAAGACGCCCACAGCCAGGTGTTCTCCTGCCCAGCAGATAGCACTGTTTTCTGTGTTTTAAGTTAAATGAACTCTTTCAAAGTCTCTTGCAACCACTCAGTTCTGCTACTGGAATCCAAAGTCAGCCATAGACAATACAAAACAAACAAGCACACCAGTCTTCCAATAAAGCTTTATTGATAGAAACAGAGCAGACTACATCTAGTCTGATGGTTCTCTCACCTCCTTCTCCCCCACACTCCTGATTATCTCTGTGCTTTGTCAAACTGCCATTCAGGTTCTAAGACCCTTCTTTGACCCTCATGCCCCAGGCCACAGCAGGATGGCACTCCCCACTTGTGACACCATGGTCAGTTTCTCTGCCCACCATGGTTCATGTGGCTTACTCTGGGCTAGCAGTTGATAAAGGGCTCTACATAATTTGGCCAAAACTTGCTTTGTGTCACACTGTAAGTCTTCCAGGTTTGCATTTGTTGTTGATGTTTCAACATAGGAGAGTCTCCCAGGGCCTGTGATGCGCTAAGCACTTGACTATCTTCAAGGGGATAGAGACAGAAGGCAAGCATTGGTGAAGAGTGTTGGAGCCAAGCCTCAAATCTGCTGCTGGAGCAAACAGCAAAACTAAAGCCCTAAATGACAATGGAAATACCACATGCTCCTTTGGGAAAGCAGGATGAGAGCTTTGGGGGCAGCACAGAAGCATGAGGCCAGTGTTCAGAGGCAAAGGGGTCAGCTGCAGCCCAGTAGGGGCTGTGGAAGCTGCCAATGGGCTCTCTCATTTTCACCACGTCAGGCAACCCGCCTGCACTCAGTGCGGTGCTGCACAACCTTATTCTGCTTTGGCTGGCTCTGTGTTCTATTTCTGCTGAGTGTTGAGTGCTGTGCCACCCAAATGGTGGAGAGATGGCACCTCATTCCCACAGCAGATAGTGAATCACTCTCTCCTCTGCTTTCTTATGTTGCTGTATCTTTTGTTCTTGTCACACACCATTGCTATCCAGTATTGTGCATCTCTGTCTACCAGGCATGAACACCTTAAGGATTGTGTCTCTGTCTTCTGTGTCTGTGGACTCCAAGTACCCAGAATTGTGAGTCACAAAAATGACAGTGTCAGACCACCACAGGGCTGAGTTGAACAGAAGCCAGTAACTTCTGGCTCCAGTGCTGGCAGGTTGAGTGATCTGATGAAAAGTCTCAGGCTACATGCTGGTGAGGCCTGGGAGTGAGAGAAGAAATTGAATTTGAATAATTGAATTTTAAGAAGCAGGCATATGCTTCTGCTGTAACCTCCCCACACCAGACAGCATAGCCCAGATGCAAGTCAAAATGCATTATGTATTTAATGTGTCTCCTGGGGTTGGCAGCTGAGATAATAGGAGGAGAAGGCATGGATTAGAATCAAAGTAGCAACATCTGAAGACATTTAGTGGTGGTGAAAGGTCAGGACAGTCCTTAGATATTTAGTCAACCTTGTGCTAAGGGAGAGCGGCGACGATGAAGGGCTGTACCTACCTGTGTGTGTGTATGTGTGTGTGTCTACATGTGGGTGTGAGAAGTTTAGAGAAGATACAGGACAAACAGCACTGGTTCTGGAGCCCCGAGGCAGACATTCCCCCGTGTTACTGTAGTGGAATTTCAATTCTGGTTGTTTATATTGATCTATGGACTCAGACTCGGGAAGAATAAAACTTTGTTTGGGAGACTGTGCCTTGCTTGTCAATCTCTCCTGAAGTCAGGGCCAGTGGTAGGTAGTGGGGTTTTGTGGAAGCAAGGAGGAATTGTATTAGTAGCAAGAGGGAGACATTTAACACCTGCCAAGAATTTAAGTTTAAACATACCCCCAGCAAAGCTGTGAGTAACTCCATCTTCAAGCTGAGGCATGGAGGGTCCAGGAGACTGTAGGGCATCCTTTCATACCTCACAGGCAGAGTCAGGGTTCAGAGCCAGGCTTAAGTAAGCCCCAGACCCCTGATATTATCTTGCTGTCATAGGTTCTGAGATCCAGAAAGAGATTTTAAAACTCTGCTGAAATATCATTTTATATGGATTCTTGAGTGGTGGGCAGGAAGGGAATACATATGGATATTGGCATGATATGGGCACGCGGTTAGAGAGGCCAGGCAAGGCCCGCAGTTGAGTCCCGATGCCCACTGCTCTGGGGGAGCTGTCATTTTAACCCGGAGGCCTGCAGACCCCAGCAGACCAACAGCAGGGGTGGGGGAAGGGAAAAGGTGGTGAAGAAGCATGGCAATGCCTGGCTGCTGGAGGCCAAGGAAGCTTGTTAAGCTGCTCATCTCAACTATCTCCCTACCATCATTACAGCTTTCATGTCACAGATAAGATGAGGTTCAGGGATTCACTCCAAAACTATTGATTTATTGTTGCCACAGGCTGAACTCAGAGCCTCTTCCATATGGGTACCCAGGGGCTGCATACCCAGCCTCTAGAATATTGATTTCCAGATGTGAGCTTATTCTGTGGGTCTTCTGGAGTCCCTCTCCATACCAGGCTGTCAGAATGTCTCCATTCCCTCAGAAGCACGAATAGCTCAGGACTTTTTATGGAGCCTTTCTTTCAGTTACTTCTCAAATCCTAGACAGTTGCCAAAGGGCTTAACAGGATATCTCTATTATATTGTATGTGTTAAAAAGAAGAAGAAGAAG